GGCTGGGAGTGAGTGTAGCTCAGTGGTAGAGTGATTGCCTAGTGTGTGAGGCTTGTTGGACTCCCAGTACTAAAAAAAAAATAATTATATGAAAGTCATCTCTCTCAAAGTATGGTTTTTGTTTTTGAGAGCACATGGTTCTTTGTTCTGTACACTATACCTGGCTTTATCATATGCCCTGTAGCACTGCCACATAATACTAAAATTATTCTGTCATTCCATGTGTTTGTGCCCCACTGCCTCTTTTGTACTTTTCTGAATGCAGGTTCTATAGAGTATCTTCTCCCAGAAGAGCCTGATTTCCTCATAATTTAAGACTTGTTATAGATAGTATACTTGCTCCTTAATCAATGTCTTTAACTCTGCTGGAGGTGTGGCAACAACTTCTTCATTGGTAGTTGTAACCTCTCCAGTAATTTTTGTACTTTTCAATACAAACTTGAAAGTCTTCAATCTATAACCATCCCTTACTTGTAGTAAATGGCTTGGTCTCATTCATTTCGGAGGATCTCTTGATTAAGTCTTCACATAGCTGACTGCATTTGAACCATATTTTATGTTCATCCTCAGATACAATGCCTTTTTCATCTTAACTAAGAACTTTGTCACACACTGTGGCCAAGTTTTGTAACTTGAAGTGCAACAGCAAAACTTGCACAAATTTCTTTTTCTTCACAGTTTTACAGATTCTGAACTCTAAGTTTTTCTTGGATGTTAGACCCTATGCTGTGTACTTCACAGATATTGTCTAATTTAATCTTCATGATTAACTATCACTTTATATTTCAAATAATGAAGACATGCACTCAGAAGGTGCACTCAGAAGATTCATTCTTCTGTAAATTGTAGCAAGCTCAGTATATGATATTTTTTCTTTCCTTATATTTAAAGTATTCATCTTTTCAATTAAAGGAAGCACTTCACTGCTGCCCTTTGGCATATTCAAATTGCCTGTAACACTACTCTTGCACTTTGGGGCCATTCAGAAAAATAAAAGTCACTTGAACAGAAGCACTTGTGTTATGGTGACAATCAATATGAAAACCAAGGTGGCTACTAAGCGGGGATGGAGTGTAGCATATACAGTGTGGATACACTGAACAAAGGGATGATTCATGTTCCTGGCAGAACTGCACAAAATAATACTCATCACAATACTCAAAATGATGTGCAATTTAAAACTTATAAATTGTTTATTTCTGGAATTTTCCATTTAATATTTTTATACTATGAAACCACAGAAAGCAAAACTGCAGATAAAGGGGAAATTACTGCAGTTTTCAGCCATTCACTATTTTGAGAATGCAGTTGATTATTTCTCTACTTCTGCTGCTATAGGATGTGAATAGCCTTGGCTTATTAAGTCAATTTTTGGATATAATTTTGTATTCTTGCCTGAGTAAAATATATCATTATATGATTAGTTTTACACATAACTGCACATTTCCTACAGATGGTTTGTGTCTTTTGACATTTGTCTTTGGAGCTTTATTCTATTAGGAAATTGCCATCTGGATAGATCCATATTTCTCAGTGCTTCAGTTTTCTCACCTTTAACATAATAGGCATGATAATAGTACTTACTTCCTGAGGTTTCTGTGAGGATTAACTAGACCATTACCTGAAAAGGGCTTAATAAATATTAGTGCTACTTTCTCTTCTTATTATCAGTCTTATTTGTTTTGTTTTGGTTTTGGTTTCCTGGGGACTTCTCAAACAAAGATGAATGAATTGCCTGTCTGCATTGTCTGCCCCCCTTAATTGTAAACAGAACTTGGCATATGCTCATAGGAAAGACTGCTAGGTATTATTACATTCTTAAAACAATAGCAGAAGATTCTTGCTACCAGAAAAAAAAAATAGAGTAAGCAAAAGACGTATGTCTCAGCCTTCAATATGCATACATATAATTTTCAGATGTGGAGGGGGCAGGGAGAGTGGCACAAGTGCAGTTTTCAATGCATATTCCCAAGTTAGAAACTAATTACAGCCTCACAGTTTAAAAAAAAGACTGAGTCTCTATACATTCTTTGTGTTTTCTGCCTATCTCCTTAAGGAATGAAGGGTCTTTCTATCCATTTATACTTCACCTCAATTTTTATTTATTTATTTATTTATTTTTAGTTTTAATTGGAAACAATACCTATATTTTATTGATTTATTTTTATGTAGTGCTGAGGATCAAAACCAGTGCCTCACACTAGCTAGGTGAGTGCTCTACCACTGAGCCACAACCCTAGCCCCTCAATTTATTTTTCATATAAATGAACTAATATATGTTATGTGTTCTCCTGAATTTATTTCTGCCAGTACTAGAAGCAGCTTATGCATACAATAAAAACAGAAGAATGCATAATATATAGGCCCTAAGGGAAAAGTCAGAAGGCCTAGCAGTTAGTTCTAGCTCTACCATTTGTAATCTGTTGATTCCTTCATTATATTACATAAGCTTGCCTTATCTGTGATAATTCTAAAAAACTTGTTTAATGAAGTATTAGACAGTATTTTGTGAGCTGTGAAGCTCTAATAGCATATAAGGTAGTAGATTTATTATTTCCAATGATTATTTTATACATTAATAAAGTAGCAGAAATTTTCTAAGGCTTTGGCTTGGATGATGGAGGAATTGTGGCATAAAGTAAAGAGTACTAGATATGAATGGGGCAAACTGAAGACTTGGATTGGGGCTTTATTCACTCCATAGAAATTATTGAATGTTTTCATTACTTGAAATATAAAGTGATAGTTAATCATGAAGATTAAATTAGACAATATATGTGAAGTACATAGCATAGGGCCTAACATCCAAGAAAAACTTAGAGTAAGAAATAGCATTAGAATAATTTTGCCACTTACTATCTGTTCAATTTTCTATCAGTCAATTACTCTTAAGTTTGTTTCCTTATCTGACAAATATAATCGTAATTGTCATCTCATAGTTTTGTAAGTATCACTCAGCACAACACTTGGTACATACAGTGTTTATTAAAGGATAGGGGCTGTTAGTAGTAAGTAGCAGCTGTCATAGCTGCTATAGCAGCAACAGTATTAGCTTTGTGCCTGGCCCTGGTTTAACACTAGTGAAGACTGCAGATATCAATAGAAGGCATTGAATAATTTTTAGAATCAAAAGACAGTATTATCAGAGTTGTGCTTTAGAAAGGTCCCTCTGATATTCAGAAAGTGAATTGGAGTGAGGCAAGAGCAAGAAATAGAAGAACTATTAGAAAGTAGTTGCAAATTTTCATGTGGGAAATTAATATTTGAAGTAAGATTAGTGGCAGTGGAGATCAAGGAAATCAGCAGATGTGAGAGATTTAGGATGGGTCAGTAAAACTTCATGACTGATTATATGAATAGTGTGAGGCTGCAGCAGCCTGTGAGCATGTTGATTTTGCTGTGAAAAGCAATAACAGGGATCAGGAATTTCTCTCTTGAGAAATTTCCCTAACTATCACTTCTTCTGGAGCTGTACGTTAGAAATAACTGTATGTTATCGTCCTTCAAAAGGTATCCTAGCAGGGGCTGGGGATGTAGTTCAGTGGAAGAACTCTTGTCTAGCATGCACAAGGTCCTGGGTTCAATACCCATTACAAAAAAAAAAAAAATTAAAAACCTTAATGATTTTTTTTTCTTTTTCTGTGTTAAGGAAATGCATTCTCTTACTGCATCATTGTGGTAAAAAGATTGTATAGGATCCTTAATTTTCACCTGAAAAACATGAATATTTTCCCCCTTTCTATGATACATACCAGGTTCAAAGATTACCACTAATAAAACTGCTCCAAAGTGTGTACAGTGTTCACTAAGACATTAAAACTAATGTCTAAAACTATCATCTCTCCAGATAAAGGACAGTGTTTCTTTATTGGGTGCTTACTGAAAGCCCTCAGCCAGATCCTAGGGTCAGGTGTGTGAGTGTGTGTATAAAGATAAAACAGAAGTGCAGTAATTTTTCAGGAGCTTATAGTATGGTAGAGATAAGAAGACATGTAAATAAATAATTATGAAACAGGCCAGTGGTGATGAGGTACACAAGAATGCTCTACATCTACTGTTACAGTACTTAACATTAGCCTTGTGTTCATGTGTCCCTCTCCCAACTATGACTCTGAGCTCCTTAAAGGTAGAGACTGTCTCATACATTTTTATCTCCTCCCCTTCTTTTATAGTTCATGTAAGAGATTAGGAAATGCATTTTGAAGGAAACATGCATAACCAGTGCTTCCAAGTATTGTGGATAAGGCCCTCACTTGACTGAGAGGAAATACAGATTTCAAGAAAGCATCCAGACATGTGGCAGTGAAAGCTGGATGACTTCAGTCAGCCACCACATTAAATAGGTGGTCCACAAAAGCACCTGGAGATAAGGCAAATAATAGGATGTATGCCATAGAGAGAAGCATCCTTTCCTCAATATGGAAAACAAACAAACCCAATTCTGAAGAACAGTCTAATATGCTATGTTTGTAACAGATGAACAGGGAAATTCCAAAGATTTTCTGTGCAATAAACCTTCACCTGTGACCTGTATTCTTAGCAGTCACATGATAACTGTAGTTGATCTACACCAGCCCCAACTAGCTTCACAGAGACAAGTCTTGTGGTCTATTAATAACATAAAAATTCTTTTTAGAAGACTACACCCAGCAAATAGGAAATCAAGAACTCTACATTCCAAAAATTAACAGAATCTTATCTCAGCTCAATGAGGCTGGGGATAGGGAGGAATGGAGAAAATAACCTATCACTAAGCAAAGAAGAAAATAAGTTAGCCAAGAAAAGCAAACATTGGATTTATCTCTTAAAAACCTTAGGGAAAAACTAAAAAAGTACTTTTGCTTAAACAGCTTTTAAGGAATTTCATTTCTGAGAGATTTTTGCCTAGAATCAGTGGGTATACATATTGTAAAATATACGCATTTACTTCAAGAAAGACTTTCCTCAAATTCTCCTGTCTTTAATCTATTGCTATTCATTAATATTTATTTTATTTCTAGTGTACTCCAAAATGTGGTCCAGGATTCAAGCATCGGATTGTTCTGTGTAAGAGCAGTGACCTTTCTAAAACATTCCCAGCTGCACAATGTCCAGAGGAAAGCAAACCTCCTGTCCGCATCCGCTGCAGTTTGGGCCGCTGCCCTCCTCCTCGCTGGGTGACAGGAGACTGGGGCCAGGTAAGGCAGTTGGAGTATGGGCTCCTGCTGAAGCAGCACCTTGAGACACAAACCCAAGATCCTTGTTTTAGTCATTAAAAACACTTGAGAGATGAGTAGCAACACAGTAATCAAAGTATGAGCCAAGTGCAGTGGTACATGCCAACAATCCCAGTGACCCAAAGCATCAAGTTGAACATGAGAAATACATCCAATTGTATCTTTCAATTAACTTTGTTTAATTAAAAAATACCAAGTTGGTATATTTGGATAGAATGAAAATTAAGTATTGTTCTTCTAAATATCAGAGAGAAAATTTATTGTTACATTAAAACATGATATCGTAGAAAGTAAATTTCTTAGCCAGTCAATTCCTTTATCCTATGGTATCATAATTGGCCTTATAGCTAGTTATCTTCTAATATCTGAGACTCAAATGAATCATAATAGCATAAAACTATATCAGTATGCTTTTGTTTGTGCTCTGAGTCTGCCCTCAGTTATTAAAAATAGCATTTTAGGACTGTGGATACAGCTCAGTGGTAGAGCACTTGCCTAGCATGTGTAAAACCCTGGGTTTGATCCCAGTTTCACAGTAGTAGTTCTGAAAATTCTTCTCCAAATTCCACATTACTGGAGCACAGCAGTACCTATACACTTTTTTATTTCAATTGAGAAAAGGTAAAGATTTTTAGTACCCATTAAGGTAACTAATGACACTTATTCTGTGCTCAGCCCTAAGGGAAAAAACATGATTGGAAAATAAAAAAAACTTTGCATATCTGTAGAGATATTTGGTTTAATTTACGAAATGCTCAGATGGAATGCATCTGATGAGTTTAAACATTATATGCAATTTAGTGTTAAAATATGTTTCACTGTAGGTGCATGAAAGCTTCACAATACCTAATTGATATTAAATAATCTTTGTAGACATGTACTCATGATTTTTATTTTAAATTAGGTAGGCATTTCCTTCTTTATATATTTTTTGTTGTAATGCATGGTTGTACAAAGGACATTTGAAAGTTTTCTCTGCTCTACTGATCTTCCTTGGCTTATCAAGAGATTTCCCCTTCACCTTTCTTTTATTTTTCCCTCACTAGCTTCCACATATGAGAGAAAATATGACCGTTTACTTTCTGAATTTGGCTTGTTTCACTTAACAGTATGTTCTCAAGTTCCATCCATTTTCCTACAAATGACATAATTTCATTCTTCTTTATGACTGAATAAAACTCTGTAGTACATATTTATCACTTTTAATCATCCATTCATCCATTGATAGACACCTAGACTGGTTCCATAGTTTGGCTATTGTGAATTGTGCTTCTATAAGCATGGGTGTATATGTATCACTACAGTATAATGATTTTAATCCTTTAGGATCAATGCCAAGAGTGGTATAGCTGAGTCAAATGGTGGTTCCATGCCTAGTCTTTTGAGGAACTTCCATACTGATTCCTTAGTGATTGTATTGATTTACAATCCCACCAACAGTATAAAAAGAAAAAAAAAAAAAGAGTTCTTTTTTTTCTCCACATCCTCTCCAGCATTTATTGTTGATGATATTTTTTCTTTCTTTCTTTCTTTCTTTTTTTTTTTTTTTTTGTACCATAGATTTAACTCAGGAGCACTTAACCACTGAACCACATCCCCAGCCCTTTTTGTGTGTGTGTGTATTTTATTTAGAGACAGGGTCTAAATAAAAGTTGAGGCCCTAAGCAACTGAGGCTGGCTTTGAACTCATGATCCTCCTGTCTAAGCCTCCCAAGCTTCTGGGATTGATGGTATTCTCGATGGCTGCCATTCTAACTGGAATAAGATGAAATATCAGTGTGGTTTTTTTATATATATATAAAAGGATTGAACGCAGTGCCTCATACTTGTGAGATAAGCACTCCACAACTGAGCTACAGCCCCAGCCCTCAGTTTACTCACGAGTAGTAACTCTCAGAAGATCATTGTCAGGATTATATAAGATAATATTCTCTCTCTCTCTCTCTCTCTCTCTCTCTCTCTCTGTCTCTCTCTCTCTCTCTCTCTCTCACACACACACACACACACACACACACACACACGTGTGGTTTTGATATTTGAAAATAGAGTCTTTTATACCTCCTGAAATTTGTTGAAATCAATATTTTTTTGTTTCTCTGTGTCTTTGAATTTAGTGTTCTGCTCAGTGTGGCCTTGGACAGCAAATGCGAACTGTGCAGTGTCTCTCCTATACTGGACAGGCATCTAGTGACTGTTCAGAAACTGTTCGGCCTCCATCAATGCAGCAGTGTGAAAGCAAATGTGACAGTACTCCCATCTCCAATACTGAAGGTAAATTCCCATAGAAAAGGGGCCTGGGGTCTTTAAGAACTCACCTGGACTGTTCCCAGGGGTTGAAGAGCCCCATAAACCCATAATTAAGGGATAGTATATAGAGAGTACTTGTGGAAGCTGTATATGCAGTAGATTATATACAGGAAATGTAAGTTTTTACTTGGCTGCTTCACAACTATTTGACCTTGTTAAGTCACTTAACTTCTCTGGTGCTCAGTTTACCTATCTATAAAATGAAAGATTAGAGTAGATAATATCTAAGGTATGTACAACAAACAGTCTATGTTTGATTTATCCCAGAATTCTATAGATGTTAATGAGTCATTTTTAAAAGTGAAAACTTTGGTTTCTTTTGGTATATGACAGTGAATCTTTATCATCATGAAGATTCAATTCATGCTTGTTACTCATTTTTTTATGTATAATGAAAGCATATATTTGCTAATTTTCTCAGCGTATAAACATGAAAAAAAATGTTTACAATAGAGGATAAAGGTCTTTGAGCACTGAAATTTTTCTTTCTTTTCTTATATATTGGAATTTCCCTTTATAAATGGCAGGTACCAGCCAAATTCCATAATTTTCATATCTTTTTTTAAAAATAAATTTTTCTTTATTCATTTAGAAACTCATTCAAAATTTCTTGAATGCTGCTATATATAAAGCACTGTCATAAATTATCAGGAATATGAAGTCAAATGTGGCATAGTCAAAAAATTTTAGACTGCCTCCTCATATAAAAAGAGAGGCATGAAGTCTTATCCTATATTAATTAAAAATTATAACTTTAATTTGCAATAACTCTGACTCTAATGCCATCTACTTAATTTGTTTTTGTTGGTTCCTATAATAAGGGACAGTCTAGAAATCTAGCTTTCCCTCTCTTGAAAAGAGCTTAAAATCCATGATAAATAAAAGTAGTTTTCTTGGGAAAATTATGTCTTAACCAATCTAGCAGGGCGCAGTGGTGCAGGCCTGTGGCTCCGGACACTGAGCCAGGAGGATTGCAAGTTCAAAGCCAGCCTCAGCAATTTAGTGAGGCCCTAATACTAAAAAAACAAAGGGCTAGGGATGTGGCTTAGTGATTGAGCCCCCAGGGTTCAATCCCCACTACAAAAAAAAAAAAAAAAAATCTACACAAAGATATCCCTTTTCCATGTGACTAAGTATTAACTGTCAATCACATGGTTTGAGGTGTGTCTCCTTATTTTTAAGAATCAAAAGATACAAGGTTAAGTGGGAGAAAAGATATGACTATCTTATTAAACTAGTCTACTATGGATATCATATTACACCCTGTATATATGTGAATATATGTATTATCTTAGTTATCTATCCTATTTATCTCACATACATAAATGGAACTCTGTATGTATATGTGTGCATGTGTGTGTGTTGGAGAGAGAGAGAGAGAGAGAGAGAGAGAGAGAGAGAGAGAATATTATCTTATATAATCCTGACAATGATCTTCTGAGAGTTACTACTCATGAGAAAACTGAGGCACAGAGAAGGATAGTGACTTGCCCATATTACAAGAGACAGGATTTGAACCCAGATTTGGCGTAGCCCAAGGGCCTGTTAGTCTCACTACAGTTACATTCTATCTCAGTTTACTCTTTAAAATAGGATAGTTTGAGCTGAGGTGTAGTTCAGTAATAGAGTGCTTGCCTACCATGTGCAAGACTCTGGGTTTGGATACTTTGACATGAAAATATTTTTTGGTTTTAAAGTAGACCGAGTTCTGGCATGGGCATCAGCCTAATTCAATAGATTAAGCCTTAGCGATTGCTGAAAACCATGGCTTTTGACATGCCTACAGGAATATATAAGTTGAAGATATATTTATAATTTCACTTTAGGCAATTTTAGTAATTTGTCCAAAAAGAGTCTCTATTATGAGTAATTATAAGCTTTCTAACTAAAGATATAATACTGTTTTCAGAGTGGGCAGAATATCATTTGCAACTACACTTATTTCTGCCATGAAGAAATTCTCTTAAAATTGGTAGGTGTTAATCTGGAGTTTCTTAGATTCTTTGGAGAAACACCAAGTAGTCACTTCATCTGTCGGGCTAAATCATTTTTTATTAACATTAATCTGAAGTAAGCAGTTAAGACAATATTTTCAGACTTCTCAGTAAAGGAGGAAATTTTTAGGAAATTATTAATCCTGCAAAGTATGACTAATGCTAGAACTGTTATTACCTAAAGTGTTGACTCATTTAAAAGAAAGAGGATCCATCTCTTTCATAAAATTAGATTTAGGGTAAAAACAATATTTCTGTCATGACTTGTTTTGTGTTCTTTTTAACTTCCCAAAAGCATATGTGGAATGCTTTAAATACATAAAACTATTTCTTCATTTAATCAGCAGCTAATTATTGAATGTTTTCTGTGGCCAGACTCTGCTATTCCTTATGGAAAATTTAAATACATTTGTAAATGTATAGTCATTAAGGGCAAATGTTTAAGTTAAAAAAAATGTTTAATTTTTAAAAAAAAATTTTAAAAGGGGCTGGTGATAAATTTTGGTGGTAGAGCATTTGCCCAGGGTCCATATCCCTGACTCTGGGTTCTATCTCTAATACTGCAAACACACACACACACACACACACACACACACACAAAAAAAAAAAACACATTTTAATGGAAGTCAGAATGTGTTATATGAAGCAGTTTTCACAAGTGCTAAAGGATGCTCAAATGGAGGACCATGACTTTAACCTTTTGTACCAAGATAAGCTTCATAGACTAAGGGGTCTGTGGGCCAGCTGTAACATGTAGTTGGAGAAACCCAGGGCATACCCCAGGAAAAGTGGATAAAACATTTGAGCTGAATCCCAAGTTGTAATCCACTGAGAAATGGAATTGGCAGATACCATGGATCTCAAAAGAGCAGAGGCTCTTGCATGAAAATAATGTAGGAGTGGTCTGGTATGGTTTGTGGGGATCAGATCAGAGAGAGAAGAAATGCCTCTTAATAAGAGAAAGTTGGAGAGAACATCTTCTAGTGGAGGAAATTTGGTGCATGAGAACGGGAAAGGACCCTTCACCCAGCCAAGTCAGGTTCCTAGGGTGCTCAGTGGGAGGCTGCTAAATGGCCAGTTTAGCTCCACCTCAAGATGGTGCTGTAAGATCTAGGGGAGATTGCTTGGGATCCCAAATACAGTCTTTCGATGGGTTTCTGTGGATCAAATGAGCCACAGATCGAATTGTGAGAATTGATTGAACTACCAAGGTTTAGATAATGCCCCCCATGCTCATTATTTTTATGAAAATAATTTTAAAAATTCAAATATATAGCCAAGTTGAAAGAATTTTACAATGAACACTCACCATCTAGGTTTGAATATTAACATTTCACTAAACTTATTTTATCACAGGTATATTCATCTCTCAAGGTGATAATTTTTAAGTAATATGCTCCATTTACCCAACCACTGGTTAATTTACTTAGCAAACATACTTACTGTGTGCCAGGCCCTGAAATTTTTGAAAGGAATACAACAAACAATGTCTCAGTCCTAGGGAGTATAGCTTAGTAAGGGTGGGAATGTGCAGACAAATAATTATAACAGTATGAGCAGTATTTTTAATAGAGGTAGCGAGAAGCTCCCCTGAGTGAATGCACGGAGGAGGGTGTATTCAACAGGAGGATCACTGAGAAGAGGAGTTGAGCTGGGCACTGGAAGGTACAAAGGTACAAAACAGTTCACCGAGGAGCCTCTGGGATGAGGGGCATTCCTGAGGACAGGTATGTGCAGATGTTTAAAATAATAAAATACATGGAGAGAGAGATTGAAGAAAGGGAAAGAAGTTAACACAACCAAAGATAGTAGAGAGAATCGGCAGTAGGGCATCTAGAAATTAAAATAGTGAGAGGCAAATTGTAGGAGAAAGAAGGGAGACACAGGTCACTGTGTTCAACATCTATTTTAGTGTTTTGTTTCTGCAAGCTTTTGGTGAAAGGTTAGAGCATTATAGGCACAATCTTGACAGACTGCCACTGAGGAGGGTAACACTACACTACTGCTCAGAGTGAATTGTAGACACACTGGGTATCACTGTATTTGAAATTCTAAGAATAATCTTTTTAAAAAAGTACTTAGAGCAGCTGGGACTAGCCTACTCAAGCTCATCTGAAATTCACCAAAATGCCATTTTATTCATTGTTCATGCAGTTTCAAGTTTCCTTGTAGTTTATATGTGCTTCTCAATAGCACAAGGCACTCTGTCATCTAGTATTTATTGCTGCCAGGTCATGATTCACGGTGTGCCATGAGCTGGTAACCAACCCAGGAAAGGAGTGGTTTCTGTACATTGGTTTACCAGCCTGAGATGTCTAACAGTGATGGATCTCGATCTCCCTCAAGTAAACATCTCTGGGAAAGCCTAGACAACTCACAAATCTCCTAACAAGATCCCTGAACAAAATAGCTACTGAATTTAGGTTTTTATGTGGAAGCTGATTGATGTATTAAAATCAGTGGAAGGAATGGTAAAGTTCACTTGGAAGACTTTGATTTCGAGGAGGTGAGGAAGGCCAATTTATTTTTTTGCCACTTCAAAGCACTCATAATCCACTTAGCATTTAGGTTCACATTCCTGGCTGTCTGACTTGGAGGGAACCTGGATCTGGGCTGGGATTATACCACCCAGAATGTGGGTGGCATCCAGGGAATAAGACTGGTTTTTAGAAAACTAAGAAAGCGAAGGTAGAAGGAATGGTTTAATCTGTGGTAACATGAAATCAGAATAAAATTCAATAGTTGTTGTCACCTTTCTTCAAGGACAAAAAGAAGTAGGTGGCCTGCTCCCATTGTAATGAATATGTCCCAGGAGAGATTTGTTATGTCCTCCTTTTCTATTCTGCATATATAAACTGTCAAGGACTGAAGTATATTTTATCGGGAGGAGCACACTGAGTACACATCTCCTAGCCCAACTCCCACACAGCACGAGCACATCTTCTACCTTCTCATTTCTCACCAGGCTCT